TGGCGATTACAACTCATTAAACACCCTTGCCTTGCTGAAATAAACACAAAAAAGCTCCATCCGCTTTTACAGAGTGGAATAATCATCCATAGCTGGGAGGTGAAAGAGTTAGGATGGAGAAGGAAAGTGGAGAGAAATGTGTAAAGGAGAGGGTGAGTGTATAGGGGTTGAATACTGTAGGCTGCAGCCACACTAGTTATGCAGTTGTTGGGCCAGACCATCGACATATACTGTATACTAGACTAGGGCTGTCGCGGTTGAGGAATTCCCCCTGCGGTGATTCAGGGTGGCTTAATATTGTGGTGTGCGATATTATTGAAGGCACTTTTTTTATTGCAGTGTGTCACACCCTGTCCTGTCTCTCCATTTGGTTCAGCCTGTGTCCCTGTTGATTGCTCCCACCTGCCTCTTGTTTCCCAATCACCCAAGCTCCCAGCCCTCCTGTATTTAAACCCCTCCAGTCCTTTGTCTCTTGTTGCTTCATTGTTTCCATGTCCTGCGTGCGTGAATCATTAAAACCCTTTCAGTTGTCCAGTTTGTCTGCCTGCCTGCTTTCTCCCCTGCATTTGGATCCTCACCTCCGCTCCACTCACCAGCGCACCCTGACAGAATGAAGCAACCCCCAGTTGAAGGACCCAGCGGGGAGATTCTCCCGAGGGAGTACCTGCTCCAGTGGCTCGCTCCAAGCCACCACCCGGCTTCTCCAGCTCCAGCTTCAGCTCCGCCTCGCCGCGGACGACGGCGTCAGCGTGCACCCTCGGCCTTCCTCTCCACCCTCCCAGCGCCTGATGAGAGACCGGATCGAGAGATGCGTTCGGATCACTCCAGTTACGTGGGCACCCGTCTGGCTGTGTGCTCCCCCGGCGTTGGTCCACGGCGTGGGGAGAGACGCCGGGCTGCCCCGCAGTCCTGTGTACCGGGATGGAGTTGTGTGCCCGCCGTTGCCCCTGCTCTGCGCAGCAGTTTGGACAAGCCCCCGGCCAGACCTCCGACCCAATCGGCGCCTCCGTCATCTGCTGAGGGAGGAGCATTGGCCGCAGCCCAGCTGACTGAGCTCGTCAGTCTCCAGGCGGAGCTTGGCCGGTTCCGCCAGCTCATCAGCTTCCAGGAATCCCGCCTGGACGCTCTATCCTCCTCATCTCAGGACCAGACGAGCGAGCCCGGTGTTCACCCAGCGGAGCTCGCCGATCTCCGGGCTAAGCTGGCCCAGCTCCATTGGACCCTCAGCCTTAAGGAGCGTCAGCTGGACGGTCTGTCCTCCCTGCTTTCACAGTTCTCAGCACCACCTGCTCTGTCGCAGCCAGCTCCAGCAGTGGCCCCGGTGGACGCTCCGCATCCAGTTCCAGCGGTGGTCCCGGAGGTCGCACCGCATCTGGTCCAGCCTGGCCAGGCAGCTCCTCCTGCAGCAGCTCTGCCTCCAGCCCAGAAACTGATGATACCGGTCCGGAAGCAGGCGGTCCCGGCCCAAAAGCAGAAGGTTCGGGCCCCGCAGCAGACGGTTCCGGTTCCGGCCCAGAAGCCGAAGGTTCGGGCGTCGAAGCAGACGGTTCCGGTTCCGGCCCAGAAGCAGACGGTTCTGACCCCGAAGCAGATGGTTCTGGTTCCGGACCAGAAGTCGACGCCTCCGGACCCGAAGCCGACGCCCCCGGACCTGAAGTCGATGGAAGTCGACGCTCGTTCCTGTCCTGAAGTCGACGCTCGTTCCTGTCCTGAAGTCGACGCTCGTTCCTGTCCAGAAGTCGACGCCCGTTCCTGTCCAGAAGTCGACGCCCGTTCCTGTCCAGAAGTCGACGCCCGTTCCTGTCCAGAAGTCGACGCCCGTGCCTGTCCAGAAGTCGACGCCCGTGCCTGTCCAGAAGTCGACGCCCGTGCCTGTCCAGAAGTCGACGCCCATGCCTGTCCAGAAGTCGACGCCCGTTCCTGTCCTGATGATGTCGCCTCCAATCCTGAAGTTGGCTCGTCTGATGAATTCGCCTCCAATCCTGAAGTTGGCTCGTCTGACGACGTAGCCTCCAATCCTGAAGTTGGCTCGTCTGACGACGTCGCCTCCAATCCTGAAGTTGGCTCGTCTGACGACGTCGCCTCCCAAGTCTGCTCGTCTGACGACGTCGCCTCCCAAGTCTGCTCGTCTGACGACGTCGCCTCCCAAGTCTGCTCGTCTGACGACGTCGCCTCCCAAGTCTGCTCGTCTGACGACGGCGCCTCCCAAGTCTGCTCGTCTGACGACGGCGCCTCCCAAGTCTGCTCGTCTGACGACGGCGCCTCCCAAGTCGGCTCGTCTGAAGTCGGCTCCCAAGTCTGCTCGTCTGACGACGGTGCCTCCCAAGTCTGCTCGTCTGAAGTCGGCTCGTCTGACGACGTCGCCTCTAAAGTCGGCTCGTCTGAAGTCGGCTCGTCTGACGACGTCGCCTCTGAAGTCGGCTCGTCTGAAGTCGGCTCGTCTGACGACGTCGCCTCTGAAGTCGGCTCGTCTGAAGTCGGCTCGTCTGACGACGTCGCCTCTGAAGTTGGCTCGTCTGAGGATGCTCTCTCCAGTCCAGAGGTCGACGCTCTCTCCTGTCCAGAGGTCGACGCTCTCTCCTGTCCAGAGGTCGACGCTCTCTCCTGTCCAGAGGTCGACGCTCTCTCCTGTCCAGAGGTCGACGCTCTCTCCTGTCCAGAGGTCGGCGCTCCCTCTAGTCCGACGTCTCCACCGTCTCCAGTGCCAACGGTGGTTCTGGAGGTCATACCGTATCCGGTCCAGCTCTTCTACGAGTCTCCGGTCCAGCCCGTCCAAGGGGCTTTGTCCCCGGCCCAGCCTGCAGAGACTCTGTCCCCGGCCCAGCCTGCAGAGACTCTGTCCCCGGCCCAGCCTGCAGAGCTCCTCCTTTGTCTCTTGTTGCTTCATTGTTTCCATGTCCTGCGTGCGTGAATCATTAAAACCCTTTCAGTTGTCCAGTTTGTCTGCCTGCCTGCTTTCTCCCCTGCATTTGGATCCTCACCTCCGCTCCACTCACCAGCGCACCCTGACACAGTGCTATCTAAACATAATGCTTACACATTTAAAAAAAGGTTAAAAATTGCCATGCCTTCTTTTATAACACTTTACTGAATGCAGATCAAAGGGCAGTAACAACACAGATCGCAGTAACATTTTTTTCTCCGACAGTCGGAGTCCGACTGAACTTAAAAACAACAAAATTCAGGAGGTTAAACTTTTAAATGCAAATTTGGCTGCAGCATCTAACAAATAAGAAACAAGTCCCCATTTTGTTTAGTTGTTTAAAATCAAGCATAAAAAATTACATGTACCGGGTGCGGGGCACTATCATTTCACTTTCACTTTCACAAACACGAATGACGGTGATTTATAGCTCGGTCACGTCCTTGTTGCCCACAAGGAAAACCAGCATGTTAACCATATACGGTTTGAGAGAGGATCTGAGAGGGGTGGCAACATTTCCAGCAACACTGAAAACCCTCTCGGATGGTGCGCTCGTTGCACTTAACCAGACACACTGATTCAGGAGGAGAGGTCACAAACAAACATAAAAGAGAGAAAATGAGGGGGAGTGAGAAACTTTAACGCACACGTACCTGCGTGCGACTCTGGCGAGCAAAGGGAATCTCTCCCGGTTGTTGCTCCACCATGTCAGGGGGGTTTCTTTAGGGTGGATGCATTCCTCCTACAGGTAGCGAGTGAGCTCCAGCTCGGCTCAAACTCTCTTCGGGACGGTTGCAGAAGCAGTGCTCTTCCGGGACTTCAGCAGGTCTCCGAGCGTTTATTTATTTATTTATTTATTTGCCGCCGGTGGCAGCTCTGTCTCAGCCAAGGACTCTGGCTGCGCAGCAGCTGACGTACTGAAAGCCAAAGTGCTCCCAAAGGAGCGAAGTAACGTTTCGTTTTGATACCAGTGCAGCCATCCTTCTCAACATGCATCATTGAGTTGAATCACGTTCAGTAATCGCGGTGACCCATGATGCAGCGCGGTGGGTTTCTTCATATTGCGATATTTCATTTTTGCGGTTACCGTGACAGCCCTATACTAGACAAATAATTTCCATAGGCTGGAATTATGTTTTTGATATAAAGTGAGAGGTTCCCACCACCGCCATTTTGACCGCGTCACATTTCTAGTCACTCCGAGACAATACAAAAATTGGAAAAGAGGTGGACCTGAGGGTGAGGCTGTTACAGTCTGAAGAAATGAATCAGTGTAGCTACTAGCTAACTTAGCTAACCCAAGAAGCTAAGAAGGGGCTCTGAGGACTGGGGTATCCCACTCGCACGGCTGACCAGCTGCCGTATGAGGCTGTAGTCATGTTGGTCGCCTGTGGAGATACGTATATTATGGACTGGGACTGTTAAATTGCAAGCAGAACCTCAGACCGCTGTGATCGTAGCCGAGCACTTTGGCCTTTGCATCAGCTCATGCTCCACATTCGGAGATCAGTGGGATATTAGCTACATGCTAACCTGAAGCTAACAGAGTTTTTTCTGGGCATTTTTAGCAAGAAAGACTCGGTAGAGCAACTCAGAAGTAAAGGCACTTCCGGCCTGTTTAGTAACAAAATCATAACTAGGTAAGCTGACTGAGGATATCGGGCTTCGCTGGTCCACCGCAGTCAAAATCTGCGAATCCTGCCTCTGGGAGCGTCGACATTAGCTGAATGACCAAAAATTGCTATGGTAAACGCACAGAGCTTTCCCCCATTCAACCAGCAAACTATTAGTGAGAAAATGTATAGGATTAGATTTGTGCCAATAGGATCAATAAAAACACTTTGGAGTATAATCAGAAACACATGGGTAGGTTAACAAGGGTCAGGTGAGTCCATAAACAACTAGGGGTACATGAGACCAAGAGTCAGAGGGGTTGGAGCAGATCCTAACAGCAAATGTACCTTATGGTAACCCAGCGTTCCTAATGATCGAATATTTAAGATCAGACTGTTCAGACGGTTCATTTTTTTAGACGTATACAACTTAAACAACAGTATTTTTTTATTTCTCTCACCAGCTCTCCTCCTCTTGTATGATGTCAGGAACAGAGCCTCCTTCGACAACATCAGGGTAAGTGTAGCAAAAGGTTATTCTGCTAATTTATAAGATCTGATTTGTTTTCGAAAACTCTCTCTGAACAACATCTGGCTGGAGAAACAACTTCATGTGAAAACTGTCTTTTTATAACCATTTGATTAGAAACAATTTCGACTGAAAATGACCCAAAAGGGCATTTTCAATTTTTGTCCAAAACACCTAAATTACCAAAATAACACAGCCGAAACGGGTCCTTAGGTGAAACCCATTTTCGTTTCATCTCGCTCTGACCTCTTACGGGTAATTGCTCTTAGCTTCATAAAAACAGTACATCTGTACTGATTTACTGAAGTTGTTTCCCCTTTTAGTAATGCTGTTTTATTACAATAGTTGTTTTATTTTGGGACTAGTTCCTTTTGACTGTAACAAAAGAAAACTATCCCAAGATAAAATTCACGAGGTGCTTCACGAAACCAAAAAAAAAAAAAAAACATAAAAAAGATAATAAAAAGATAATTAAAAAGTGTTTTAAATGGCAAAAAAAATAAAATTGTGATTAAAACATGTAAGGAAAGGGAGAGAGAAAATGAACATGAAAGAGGGCAGTTGGTGGATCCTGGGAAAGGTGGAATAAGTAGAAAGAACAGAATAAGGAGAGGGTGGTGATGAAGGTCACACAAAAACCAGCTTGAACAAGTGAGTTTCAGCTGCTTTTTCAAGGAGACCACTGAGTCCACTGATCTCAGGCTCGGGGGTGGGGGTGGGGGTCCAGAGTCTGGGGGCCACAGCAGCAAATGATCTGTCACCTTTGGTCTTTAGCCATGCATTTTGAACCACCTGTAGACGGTTCAGGGAGGTTCTGCTCAGACACGTGAAAAGAGTTACAGTAGTCTAAGCGTGAGGAGATGAAGGTGTGGAGAACAGTCTCAAGTTCAGAGCGGGAGAGAATGGGACTCAGCTTTGCAATGTTCCTGAGATGGAAGAAGGAAGAGCGAACAATACAACGGACATGAGAATCTAGGGTGAGAGCTGGGTCAAAGGTCACGCCAAGATTCCTGACAGAAGGTTTGGTGTGAGAAGCAAGCTGACCAAGAGAGTCTCTGACTTTGGGAACCAGCTTGTCTGGGGCACAGAAGAGGATCTGGGCTGCATGGTGGCACAGTGGTTAACATTGCTGCCTCGCAGCACGAAGGTTGCAGGTTCGAAATTCGGCTGTGGCCTTTCTGCATGGAGTTGCGTGTTCTCCCCATGCATGCGTGGGTTTCCTCCCGGTACTCCGGTTTCCCCCACAGACCACAATATGCCCTATATCATTTGTCTTCTTGGCAAGATGGCGCCCATGAGTGGCTGTGCGTCTGCTAGGCTCCTGATCTGTTGTGGTTATTTGTTGTTTTTTATTGTTTTTTCTCTATCTGGTGCGGATTCCCTGCTAACATATGATCGAGACTTACTATTGTCAATCAGGTCCGCAATGATCAACCTCCAGAACTCCGATACCGGACCTGCTTTTCCACCGCCTCTGGAACCTGGCGTTAACCCAGGTGTCGGCCCTTTGTTACCTGTGGGCCTGCCGCTGCCTCGGAGGCCATGGAAGAGGAAATGGGGGAAGAGAGCTGGCTTCTTCGTTCAGCTCCGAAAGATCCTGACAGGTGAAGCTCTTCCCGATCGCTGCTCCGCGGCTGTGTTGTGGTGGATCCAACAGAAACTCAAGGGAGTTGGGCTGATCTCGCTGTTCAATGGTGCCCCTGATGCAGGTCGCTACCTGAAGGTAAAGAACCTCCGCGGGCATAGCCTGGAGTCGCTACGTAGCTTAGCCCGCCAGCCGACCGCCAATATGGAGCCTGCGGTACACACATCGCCAGATTTCTCTGCGAAAATGACGTTAATTAACGCGTGCTCCATCGCTAACAAGTCTCACATCCTAAACGATCTGTTCTGCACCAAAAAATTAAACTTTTTGTGGATGTCTGAGTCGTGGCAGCGCGAAAATAACGTCACTCATCTCCGTGAGCTCTGTCCTCAAGGCTGCTCTTTCTTCTCTTCTCCACGGACCACAGGCCGCGGTGGAGGAACAGCTGTTATCTTTAAAAAACACTTTTCGTGCCAAATTATATCCTCAAACTCCTACAGCTCATTTGAGATGATCATGATTAAAATTGGTCGAGCTCTACCAGTTAATGGAATTCTGGTCTATCGCCCACCTGGATCTACTTCATCCTTCCTGTCTGACTTTCAGGATCTCCTATCTTCTACTATTAAACTAGACAGCATAATCATTGTTGGAGATTTCAACATCCATGCTGACGGTCTATCTAACAGCTCTACCAGGGAGTTCCTAAACATGATGAACTCTTTTAACCCTTTGATGCATAATGGTCACTACAGTGGACAGGTACTCAAAATTGTTATTTATTTATTTTTGCTATTAAGCACAGCTGTTGAAGACTTTATTGCATGTGAGCCCCTCCCTTTGGACTTCAGTAAGGCAATCCAACATATTTCATGTTCAGAATGCACACTGTCCACTGAGGTGGACATGTAATAAATTATTTGTAAATTAACAAAATGTCACAAAAAATATTTGTTGAAATTTGTTTCATTCACACCTAAAGATGAATGAAAAAAATTGTTTAAAAAATCATGGTTGAAGATTTCATAATTCATGCATCAGAGGGTTAACTTCTCTCAACACGTGTTTGGTCCCACTCACAGAGCAGGCCACACCCTGGATCTGGTCTTTTCCTACGGACTTCTTGTTGATGAGCTGCAGATAAATGATGTTGTGTTCAGTGACCATAAGTCAGTTTATTTTCATATTAACCTAAATTCTGAATCTCTTTTACCAGACTCTGCCAAGCAACAATGTATTATCAACAGTTCTACCATTTTAAATTTCTCCTCCCTCTTTGACTTTGTACCTCCTTCCTCTGATGACGTTGCACTCCTTACCAACTCATTTAATGATCACTGCCTCAAAATTCTAGATCAGGTCGCCCCTTACAAAACCAGCCACAGTTCCAGTGCCTCCAGTTCACCCTGGCGTAACAACCAGATTCTTGATCTTAGACGCTCCTATAGAAAAGTGGAACGACGGTGGAAGAGGACAGGTCTGGTTGTTCATCGCGAATATTTTAAAGAACTTCTAGAGTCATACAACAAAGCTGTAGAAAGTGCCAGGTCTTCTTTCTTCAGCAACCTCATATGTCAAAATAAGAATAATCCTAAGGTTTTGTTTGATACCATCTCCAGCATCGTTTCTTCTCCTCTGCAGCAGGCTCAGCTTTCTTCAGCTGATGACTGTAACAGATTTCTCCACTTTTTTGCCAACAAGGTGCTGAATCTGAGATCCAGCATTCCACCAGCTACCCCCCCCCCCCCCCCCCCCCAGAGGGGAGGCCCCCCGGTGCTCCGAGTCTTTCACCTCATTCTCCCCAATTACACTTAATGACTTAGCCTCAATAATCAGTCAGATGAAGCTCTCATCATGCTCATCAGACATCTTACCTCCCTCTGTCTTAGTCGGGTCCCTTGCCTCCATCAGTCCATCTCTGTTGACTATGATCAACAGTTCACTGAGCCAAAGCTGTGTTCCATCTTACTTTAAAAATGCAGTAGTGACTCCTCTCTTAAAGAAACCCAACCTTGACACCAGCTCCACCAGTAACTTTAGGCCCATTTCTAAACTACCTTTCATTAGTAAAGTACTTGAGAAGATTGTGGAAACCCAACTCAGATGCTGGTTTTCCAAGTCAAAGATCTCTGACCCCTTCCAATCTAGCTTTCTGAAGCAGCACTCAACCGAGACTGCTCTAGTAAGGGTGCATAATGACCTCCTGATGGCTGCTGATGCTGGGAAATGCTTTGTCATGGTCCTGCTTGACCTCAGTGCAGCTTTTGACACTGTAGACCACAACGTTCTACTAAACAGGTTAAATACCCTGGCTGGGATTTCAGGTTCTGCTCTAGACTGGCTCTCTTCCTATGCCACTAACAGAACATTCACAGTGAAGTTAGAAACCTTCTCTTCAGACACTGCTTCTCTAACATGCGGGGTCCCACAAGGTTCAGTTCTAGGGCCTCTACTATTTGCATTCTATATTCTTCCTCTAGCTGGCATCATTCAATCTTTCCCAGACATCTCCTACCACATCTACACTGACGATATACAGCTCTCTATGTCCTTCATGCCACACCAGTTGGACAGGCTGGCCACCCTTGTACTCTGCCTGACCCAGATCAGAAACTGGCTGTCCAGCAACTTTCTTGTTCTCAACGCCAACAAGACAGAGACCCTGATCTCTGCACCCCCGGAACTTCAACCAAAAATCGAGCAAGAAATGGCCTCCTTTTGCCCATCAGCCAAGGCCAACATTAGAAACCTGGGAGTTATTTTTGATCCGGTTTTATGTTTAGACACACACGTCAAAACCATCTCCCCCTCTTGTTTCTTCCAACTGAGAAACATTTCAAAAGTCCGTAAACTGGTTTCTACTGCAGATCTGGAAAAAATCATCCACGCCTTTGTGTCATCACGCTTAGTCTACTGTAACGCTCTTTTTACTGGTCTCAGCAAAACCTCCCTCTCACGCCTTCAAACCGTCCAAAATGCAGCAGCCAGACCTAACCAAATCCAGCAGACGAGCTCACATCACCCCAGTTTTACAGTCCCTCCACTGGCTCCCGGTAGAATTTAGAATACAGTTTAAAGTTTTAGTGCTGACCTATAGAGCTCTTAACAACCAGGCTCCAAGCTATTTGTCTGAGCTTTTATCCCCACACGCCACTAAACAGAACCTCCGATCCACATCTGAAAACCTCCTGGCTGTTCCTCGAACCAGACTAAAAACCAAAGGGGACAGGGCCTTTCAGTCTATTGCCCCCAGACTTTCGAACAGTCTGCCTTCAAATCTCCATCTCTTGAAATCTGTAGAGTTCTTCAAAAAACATCTTAAAACTCACCTTTTCATCCAGGCTTTCCCCCGCTAAATATTCTAAAATATGGCTTTGTTCTTGTTCACACCTTGACTTTGTTT